CTCTTATTCAATTTCATACAGTGGGGTTCAAAAGTCTGAGAGGACTTTCCAAGTTATGATTTCAGACTTGGACCCCACTGCATCGTTTGTTTGGACGTTACATGGTGAAGGGAGATTTTAATTCTCATTTAATGATAATAACTCTGACCTATGTGCAAAAAAACATTCAATCTCTATTTGTTGTTAATATTTTGAAGAGTTTGCAGGAAAATACACACACCGTTGTGCAGTAACTGTGGCGTACTCTGACTTAAGAAGTAGCAAACCTACCATCAGTGTATTTTACACATTCTTTTTACTATATTTTAAAATCTTTAGTCAGTGATATTTGTAAACCCTGTCCGTGAAGTTCTCAGGATAGAACTGCTGCTCACTGTTTTTGTCCTGTTTGCGTGTATTCAGATACCCTGATGCTACCCCTGAAGATCTGCAGGCTTCTGACAATGTTTGTATCATCTGTCGAGAGGAAATGGTCACTGGAGCCAAGAAACTACCTTGTAATCACATTTTCCACTCCAGGTAAGTCCTTAGTTAAACAGTAAGACTCAACAGGAAAGAATCTAGGCTGTGACCAAAAAACAACCTGGATGTCAGAAGTTGTCAGCGTGTCATTATTGAAGCTACTGTATTTAAAAGAAAGCGAGCCAGGTGTGGATGTGAGAATTAAACAAGACTTTAAATAGCAACCTTTAGTTTTGTGTTAGATTGTTATTTGTTTTGTATTATTTCTAATAATGTTGTGCTGGGCTACTTAACTCTCCACAGCTGCTTGCGCTCCTGGTTCCAGCGCCAGCAGACCTGTCCCACCTGTCGAATGGATGTGCTCCGAGCTTCCAATAACAATCAGACTCCTGCCCCAGCCCAGGCCCCGCCCCCTGCCCCCGCAGCCCCTGCCAACGTGCCCGCAGCCCCGCCTGCTAATGGTGAGAATCAAGACCACTACACACAAACACAACCCCCATTTTCCTACTGCTGGCTGTGAAGCCCACTTATCCCCGAATGATTCATTCAAGCACATTCTTACACCTGATAAGTTTCTGTAGATGTGATATAATTTCGTATATACTGCTCTCAGGACACCTCATGTGCCTAAACGCACTGGTGTGTGTTTATAGTAAACAGATGATTCTGGTGAAAAGTGATGCAGCTGGTGGAATGCTCTCTACACATTCACCCATCTTCTCTTCCATGATCCCACCCTGAGGCACCAGAGTCAGACATCTTCCAATTCTACACATAGTTTGGTTTCTGTTACTAGTCTCTAAAAGGTCAGAATCAGATTTATTGTCACATCCATAATATACAGTCGGCTTCATGCTGTTCTCCACTTTTAAAAACAGATAAAACACTTTTAGAAAAACAGAGAAATCACGAAATCCTTCAGAAAAACCAACTTATTTGAAACACTGATCAGGGGAAGCCTCACTGGCATTGTTTTCTTTCTCCAATCTGTTTGGTCACTACATGACACAATAAAACCAACTCAGCTCTCCACCTTTTCTTGGTTTAATTAGTAAGCAGTCCTGGTATTATTATTATCATTATTATTATTATTATTATTATATCTGTGCAGACTGTTAATTATGAAGTGCCCAGTGGTAAATATACATTTCTAAGATTCTCTTTGGTTCTGGTTGCTCTCCAGTGGCTCCAGGCATGTTACCAGGCTTCCCACCTGGCATCTTCCCTTTCTGGGGTCCCTTCCCTGCAGTGCCTCCTCCTCCTGCTGCCGCTGCTGAAGCTCCTGGTGCTACTGATGCTCCACAAAGCAGCTCAGAGGCCACACAGGCATCTGGTGAGGAGGATACATCCTTCTATTTCATCAGTTGTGTCCATTGAATATCATCAAATCAATGATTCCACATCAATTATAATACGATAGCTATGGCAGCTTATTGTGTGTGTTCTGTGTAATTGTAAGATTTACTATTTGTTGATCATCCTGTTCCTACTGAAGTGTTTATCAGTAGTAAGCAATGAACCAAAACTGTGTGACCCAGATGCATGTATTAATGCAGTAGGTTACATTTGTACCACAAAACTGTTACATTTCTGTATATTTTGTTTTTGCATCCTGTCATCAAAGCGTGTTTGTGTGTTTGCATCAGGTTCCAGTCAGCCCACATCATCTACTGCTGACACCTCCACAGCAGCAGCTGCTCCAGGACCAACAATCCCAGGCTTCCCCTTCTCCTTCCCGCCTCCTCCCTTCCCCTCTGCACCGTGGCTGCCCATGCCGCCACCTCCTCCTTTTGGTGAGAGCAAACACTGACTGACTGACTGAGTGCCGACTTGCAAACAAAACCACTTGACACATTGAAAATAATATTTGATGCATGAAATAAGTTAAATGGCAGGGAATCGTTCAGAAAACTATCAGAATCTGGTTTTATTGTCAAGCAGGTTTAAATAGAATAGGAAAAAAAATAGAATAGAATAGGAAAAACAAATTTAAATCCTTAAAAGGGAGGGATTGTGATGTTGTAAGTAAACACTAGAGTCTGGATTGTGCTATGAACAATTAGTCTGTTATTTGCACCAGGAAGTTAAAGTGTCACAGGCCGGGCATCAGTGCAGCTGGAAAAAACAGTTTTTGTGGTGTGAGGTTTTGGTTGGGGGGGGTCAGCCACAATCTTACCTGCACAGGTCCTGGAGAAAAGGTTGCACTGCAGTCTGGTCCGGTGTCATGGTCAACCTCTCTGTTACTTATGTCGCTCCTCTACAAGAACATAAAATAGAATGTCCAGTTTTAGCTATTAGTGATGGTATTGTCTCATGTCGCCTGTTAGCCTTTGTTAAAGGAAAAGCGTTACCATAGTAACATACTATCATTTCACACTTTGGACATGCATGACCCAGTGTTCTCTGTTGTCAGGAGTGTCAAGCAGTCATGAGTAGTAAATCTGAAGTCACTTGAAGCAGTTGTTGATACTCAGTCTCAGCCTGAGTGGTTCATTGTGTTGGTACATTTTAATCTGTAGAAAGGAGACAGAGGTGTCCTTTAGTTAATGCTCGCAGTTCCTGTCCTTGATCATCTTGTTTTGGCTGGTTGCACACCTTTCACCTGTGCAACACAGATCGAGCTGTAGAGTCTGCGTGCTCGCCCAAAGCAGGGCTTCCTGTAGGAAACAGTCTGGTGCCAAAACCGTACTGTTTGCTTTTCCTCTTCTTCTTCTTTGCCTTATCCGGCTGTATGGTTGTATTTTTGGCAGCATTGTTTAGGAGAAGACTGGACCGAGTCACCCTGCTTCATGTTCGAGTATAAAAGGGAGCATATGTGTCAACGTCACCGTGTGTGCAATGACAGATGCGTCAAGCACAGCTTCAGTGACTTCAGTCTTCCTAAAGCCAAAATGATTTAAAAACTGTTATGAATCAGAACTAGTCCTAGCCAGGTGGACTTTCACTTTAAGGCAGGTGATCTATTTCAGAAGCATGTTTTGTTACAACTCTTGAAATCCTCTTTACTTCCTGATATCAGTGAATCAATGATTTCATTTATCCTGGATTCAAAAAACTAGATGGCCTTCTTGCCTGTGAATTTATTTGACCCCTGTGTGCTTTCTGCTGGTGCAGTCGTCATGTGTGACTAGCCTTCATCAATGCTAAAATATGACATCATCAATACTTAAGTTTGTTCTTGTACACTCGTACATTTTCCTGCCTGCGAAAGACTCAGGAGTATAGTTAGTGATGCTTCCCAACTCTGTCGCTTGCACGTGGTAGTGTGCTTTGACAGAGCATCTGACTGCTGACTGGTTGGTAGCAGGTTTAGCTACAGATCACTACAGTGACCACCCTGCATAAGTACATTTTGTTCCTCTCCTGCAGTGTCATCAATGCCCCCACCTCCTCCGTCTCTGTCCCGGATGTCAGAGGAGGAGCTCCGGGAGCTGGAGGCTGAAGGCCGACGGGGCCTCGAGGCCAGACTCCAGTGTCTCCAAAACATCCACACTCTGCTGGATGCTGCCATGCTCAACATCCACCACTACCTCAGCACCGTCGCCACCCTCACGTAACTACACCTCTCTGATTCTTCGCTAAATTCAACTACATTTTTAGTTTTTCGGTGAAGATTTAGGTTAGAAAGTACAAAGTGGTCTCATTCTGGGGATTCAATCTTAAGCAAACACAATAAAAAATGTCTTGCATGCTTCATGCTTTTTTCTGCTCTTTCTCTCACAGTCCACCTCGGGCTGAAGGCAGCACAGGAGAAGCCAGTGGGACAAACCACTCTGCTACAACTGCTGCATCTGCTGCATCTGGCAGCAGCACAGAGAGTCAGAGCCAGGAGAAAGACTCAGGACCCAGCTGTGAGTAAACTGAGGGTGCAACTACGAAGGCAACAACAGCAAACACTGAAAACCTTGATGTGATGTTTTTTTCCTTTTCAGTGAATGGTGCTTCAGTCTCCTCTCAGCCCGCTGATTCCACCTCTGCTGCCTCGGAAATGGAAAGTAGAGAAAAGATTGATGAAGAGGTGCTGGAGGAGGAGATGGTGGAGGGCGGAGAACCGAACGCCGCCGAGCTGAGGCGCCGTCGTCTCCGCAAGTTGGAGTCGGCATCGTCGTCCTCATCACCCCCTCCAGACAACTGATCTCCGTGTTGGACAAAATCGCTCTGGACCAACAGGAACTGTGAGCTGATTGATCTTTGCTTCAGTTCTTCGCTGCCTCCGCGGCTCTCGCCTTCCACGGGCTCAGGTTTCTAACCGTGTCAAGATGGACTCAGGCTGCGGAGAGACGCAGTGATCTTTTAGTGAAGATTCTTTAATGCTTACCTGGACTATTTCTGTGTCCGAAAGCAATAGCGCAATTTTTTTCCCCCATGACCTCCCAGAATGACCTCTGCAATAACAGCACTGCAGGTGTTTGTATGTGTAAAGGTGGAAGATGAAGTCTCGAGTCAGTCCCAGATATTTGGTCGATGTGACAGAGATGGTATTTGTGTTTGCTAGTTTTACAGTCGGTGACGTCTTTGCCTGCACTTTGATTTTTTTGTTTAATTCAGCTTTCTTTGGTATAACATTTGGACCCATTCACCACATCAACATGTTACATCGAAACAGGATCAGTGTCCGATTAAGTGGATTTCAATCAAGGGATTAATCGTCTACTCTTTTTTTCTTTAAAATACATCACTCTTCAGTTTCCTGGTTTCTTCACACTGCAGACGCTGTAACATACTGATTTATTTGAATGTGTACATACTGTAAAGAGTTTTAATAGGATGATCTGTACATAATGCAGAATAAACTGTTTGACTGAAACAACAGTGGAACAGCAGACACATTTGTCTGTAAGTTCACAAACTGACTTTAGAAGTGGGGGGTGTTAAAGTGAAGCTCAGAAACTGCATGTTGGAATCTGAAATGTTGCCCGTGAATTTAAATCGGGCTGTTACAAATTAAAAAGACACACAGAAGAGTTAAAGCGGTAGAGATGAATAAAACCAATAAAAACAGTACAAACGCAAATTCAACATTCCCAAAATAAAAACAGAATAATTAACAAAAAATCATTCCAAACATTCATTCCCAAAGGTTTTCAGGAAGCAAAAGGTTTTACGTTTTTGTCTCTTTTTTGCAGAATTAACGGTATTTGAACAACCTGATAGATTTAAATATGAGGGAGCAAATATATCATGTACCTTGTTTTTAAGTGTCAGCATTTAAATCATCACATCAAATTGCACAATACCCAGTGGAATGTAAACATTTGACTAACACTGGAGAAACTGTGTTAGCTGGAAATAACAGGGTTCTACTTTCAGCCTCCCCTGAGTACAGATATGAAACTGGACCGGTTTTCTGTCTTGAGTAATCATCACAACTTCTACTGCTTTAAAAATAACAACATAACAACATAGCAACAGAAATGCTTCCCAGGTAACATAAAAGTAATAGTTTGTATTACTTGTCTCAAAGCCAGTTTAATGTCATGTATGTGTCCTTATTGGTGTAATTATTAATGGAAGACTGGCTGAAGATATGTAATAACACAAACAACGTTTCCTACAAACATGTTCTGCTTCATAATAGGCTGACCAAGTCCATTTTTATTTGTTTGTTGTTTACATAGTAAAAGCCATTCATGTGCTGAGGTCAAAGCTGCGGGTGACTGCTGTGAGGAAGCCTCGTTCTCGTAAACACAAAGGAGAGCAACGTTTAATTCTCGAATACAATTAAAAGGGTAGTGGTTTTAAAATAAGTTAAACATTCATCACAACGTAATTATACAAGACAGGGATAAGAATCAAAATTGATTTTGAAATGTAAAATGAGAAAACTCTTCACAGAAGTGACAAACTAAAAGAACAGCAGACCTGAAGATAATTTACAAGAAAACAAAACAAGGAAAAGAAAAAACCTGCAGCGCCATTCACGTCTGAGATTAGATATAGATCCTGCTTATGTTGAACTACTAAGAAAAATGATTTTGCTGTAAACACAAAGTTCTGGGAGACTGTTTTGTGTGTGTCTGTTTCCAATACACTTGAAACAGTGTAGGAGAAAAGTTAATTTAACAAGAAAACTGCAAAGTCGTCTCTTCAGTGTCTGGTCAGAGCTCTTTATATACAGTCTATGGTTGAGAGTTATGTGCTGCGAGCTTATAAACTACATTCAATTAAACAAATGATGAAGGAATGCTTATGAAGCGAAATGTGACATTTTAGGAATCCCGAAAGCAAATTTAGCTGGTTTTTAACACTGGAACAACAACTTCCTACAGAAAGAGAACAACTTGTGGCTAAACCTCTTAACTTTCCTAAAACGCTCACTGGGAACAATATTTGGCCATTCATGTTTTGTCACTACGAGCTTGTTCCCTTAGAGCAAAGAGAGAATTTTAATTTCTTCTTCATTCAAAAACTACAAGGTGCATATTTACTGAATTTCCTGAGGTTATCTGTGCAAAAACAGTGATCACAGAGGGAGTTGCTTCTGGCTGGTGTGTGTGTGTGTCTGTGTTCATTTTGTCCATGCGATGAACACCACCACCTGGATCATGGTGAGCAGTCGGGATCAGTTCTGGGGGGTGGAGTAGAATGAGTGGTGCTGGTGGTTCTGGGCTAGAGGTTCGCTGGCAAATAGGAGAGGAGCGCTCTCTGCTCCGTACCAGCTGAAAAAGAGGAGAGAGCGATGATAGATGTGTCCACTGTGCAGCGTGTGAGTGGTACGGTGGATTTCAGTTGGTTTTTTTCACAGCGTTGCAGTGTACTGCAGCAAATCAGAGAGTACGCCTGAGCACATTCACACTAGAGTCTGAACACATGAGACTAACCAAAGCCCGAAGATTATGACTTATATTTATGGATATTAGTTGAGTCGTTTTTGCATGATCCTACTAACTGTCAAACAAACACAGACAAGAACATAACCTTAAAAATAGATAATCACAACAGAGATGTCATTAGCTTCTCAAAAATACCTTAAACTTATACTTAGATGCATGAAATATAATCATGTTTTGTCCCTTGACTAACTGGTTAATAGACTGTTTGTCTTACATGGTTTCAATGATCGTACCTAGACTGTGGATGTTGACTTCGTGCCCATGGAACAGGCGTGTCGTCATCACTGCCTTGAGGGTCATCAAAGAAATATGGACGAGGTAGGACCCTGTTGTTGATGACCATGCTGCTGGTCTGTGAGAATTAGAAAAAAAACACAAGTTGAAATTCCATCTGCTGCTTCAACACATCCCGAGTTGTGTTTGACGCACTAACTACCTCCTGAGTGGGCTGGCGGACCCTGAAGATTATGATGAGCAGGCTGGTTGGGAGCAGTTCCCATAAGAAGAGGATGGCACCAAAGACCAGGTAGCCGCTGTCGCCCAGCTCGTAATGCAAATCAGCCTACAAACACACACACAGTTATCTACTGGTATTGAAAGATAAAGATCTTGATCGTGACCCAGGCTGTTACACTACACGATGATTACCTGGTCAGAGACGTTGTACCAGTCAAAGTTGAACGACTCCACCTGGTAGTTCTGCGTCAGGAGGAGGACTGTTAGGTTGTAGCAGGCTCGACTGGCGAACAACAAGATCACTGCTGCTCCCAGTGCTGCTGTGCGGCAAACGGTGGTCCCCTGGTCAGGCAGAAGACACACTGTTAACCAGGAGTAGCACCCGACACAGGAGTGTAAGAAATACTTTAAATTTAATCTTAATCTTATAGGTTTAAAAAGGCTGGAGGCTATTATTCCCAAAATGCATCTCAACATGGACCCTTCCTACCTGGTGAGCACCCAAGTATTTCCAACTTTACACTTTTTAACAGTTAAGTTGTAAATGTGTAGTGTTAAAGTCTTCACTGAGATAACCCTGATGATGTCATGAACCATGAAGAAAGCAGCAGAAACTTGTCTGACTGAGATGTGGTCACATCGACAGGAGAATGTTTGGAGCGTTCAGGTGAGGCGTGGCGTCTGGTTCCATGTGTTAGAAACTTTTCAAAATTTTACTCAGCATGAAAATTCCAGAAAATGTCCAGAGCAACTGACTCAGACATTAGCGTTTTCACATAGTCCCTCCAGAAAATATCAGGAGTTCAGTGATGCCATCGAGGTAATTTCATCAGCTTCGATAAAACTATTCCACAGCCACAAAAGACAGAATACAACTGTTTTCACAGGATAAGAGCAATAAATCATGAACAATTATTCAATCCTGATGTACTGAATAAAAAACAGGGGGATTGGCTCTATAACTTTATAGCTATGTTTCCTGAGTGCACCTTGCTCACCAGGTAGGGGCTGGTGGAGTGCGAGTGTTTGGTGAGGAGCAACAGCAGAGCAGCCAGTAACACCGCATCCAGGATGAAGAGCGAGTCGTTGAGTATGACTCGAACCAGGACCAGATTCCAGGTCCACTCCCCCGACCCGCCTCGGCCTCGGTACCCGAGAGCAGCGCAAACCACGTTGACAGAGAGGAAGATAACGTTTATTGCACCATACATGCATCGTGCCAGCCACCTGAGGAAGATGTGGGAGCCAGAGTGAAGCATGAATTTGGAGCCATAAAGTGTTTAATACTCTCAGTAAAGATAAAAAGGGATCAAAAGTGTAGTGTGATAATGTGTAACTTACAGTTTCCTGCCCCCTGTCGAGCTGTAGCTCTCTTTCACTTTGAGCAGCACCTGCAGTACAAGACAATAATGAAAGTAAAAGCAAAAGGAATTCCCCTGCTCATAGTTGTGGCATCAGACCAGTTGTGTAATTTCTACCAGTGTATTCAAGAAAAATAACAGTTTCCCCTTCCACAGCCTTACCTGAGTAAAATACAGGTTAATAAGGCTGAGTGTGAAGAACTGCAGACAAACAGGGAAGCAGTAGAGCAGCCAGTAGAACACAACGTGTAGGTGGTTGGCCTCAAGGGCATTAACGAAGTAAAAGGAGAACAGGGTGGTGCGGAGGGCAGCCCACAGCAGGCAGAGGAATAGAAAGACGCTTTGGTAGCTCCATCTCTTGTGTCTGTAAAGATAGCGCAGCCAGAGCTGGATGTACACCACCAGGAAGAGCACGGCGTACAGAGTGGTGTAGAGGATGGTGAAGCCGAGCTGCACTGACGGGGCCACTGCTGGACGGAGGGGAACCGGGGGCAGCGGGGTGGAGGAGGTGGGGGGAGGGGTGACTGTGACCGGAGCTTCCATTGGGGGGTAATGTCAGGCAAGTGTCCTTCATCACAGAGAAACTGCCTCACATTCTCCTGTCACCGTGAAGGGCTTACATGGGACACCTCAAGTAAAAAAACAATAATAAAGTTAGACATTATGAATCTGTGGACTGCAAGAGATTTCGCCCCCATTTGTACCGAGGTGTAAATCTCCTTAAAACCTCTGCATGAATGAGCCGATTGTTGCTGTTGTAAATAAGCAGGACTATCTGGCCCCAACCTCTGAACTTCAAGAAGCTCTTTGTCTTTGTGGGAGGGATGTGATTACCATTAATGACACTGTAACTATAACTTCACCTAATGACTTACACTGGTGACACACAGACAATCTGTCTTCAGAGGACATTGACTTACAATGATTCCCTGGAGACTTACTCTAACCTTAACTATAGCTACTACATGCCTAACTCTAACCAGGCCCCAGTACTGACACTTTGCCTCATTAGGACTGAGCTTTGGTCCCAATGAGGACTACTGATACTAAAGAGGTCACGACTACACGGACTACACACGCACGCACACACACGCACGCACACAAACACACACCAGCTTCACATACACTAAACCACAGACAGCGTCATAATCATGTAACAATACAACAGGCACGTCATGTTACGGAGGAACAGACTTTCTGTCATTTCGACAGCAACGGAAGACACTGAGTGACAGAGTGGTTCCATTAGATAGTAGAAGTGTTAATGTCCGCAGGGTATATGTTGTTGACCTTTGAACCTCAGTAATATCCGCAGCTACATGTCTTTACTTTGCTCTTTGGAACATAAACAACCGACCACCACTCACTGTTGAACTGAGCTAACTGGGCTAACATAAACTAAAGTTCTCCATGACTGTGGAAGTGAACTAGTTGAAGCTGTCCCTCTGTGCCTGGTCACGGAGACATACACGGTGGAAGTAGCTGTCGGTGATCTTTAAAGGACGGGGACTGACCTGTTTACAGCGGACATGCAGCTCCGTGTTGACGCAGATGAACAGACGATGCTAATCCGTGTCTCTTCCGGATGTGGGCTGAGGGGGCGGGACTTCAGGTTTGATTATGCCGTCCAATCAGAGACGAAAGAAAATCGCGGTTTCTTCAATTTGTTGTTTACCAGCTCAGAGACAGACGGCGCGTGCACGTTTCATCCACGGGTCCCATCTAGGCTCCGGTTGTTTACAGCACGGGGGTGTTTGGTAGCTAACAGCTGCCGGATGCCGGTTTTGTCCTCCGCAGCTCGGCGCCGTTACCCGTGTTCCTCCCCGGACTCCCCGCACGCTAACGCTCGGCTCCTCTTCGCGTTCCGGTCCCGCCGCGTCACGATCGTGCTGCATTATTAAAGCTGTCCAACATGCCCATGGTGCTGCGCTCCAGAAAGTCCATCCAGCCCGGCGGCCGGGCGGAGGAGACGGAGGCAGAGTTACCGGACGCTACGCCCCGCACAGCACGGAGAAGGTCGACCCGCCTGCACAGGAGAACTACGTACGAGGTGGGTACTGTATTACTCAGCCTTTCCTCTTCCTCCCCGTCCTCCTCTTCCTCCCTCCGCTGACTGCGCTGAACTTCACCGTCGGCCACGTAGCTGGCTCGCTAAAGGCAACTGCAGCGACATTAGCTGGCTAACCCGAGAGGAACCCCTCCAGGAAGGATTACACAGACACGGAGCTGCTTAACCGGCCGTATATAAACTACTAATACCACTTTAACTCGTTTAATGTTCGATGGCTGGTTAGCATAACTGTACGGAGCGAGACAAATAGAGCGAACCTCTGCGCCTAGCTAAAACTTATTACCTAGCAAGTTACCGCATCATGGTGAGTTTTCTCTTCTTCAGTTTCTTTGTGATGGTGATACACGTCCACACTAAATGAGCGTTGTACGACTTGTGCCACAGGACTAGTGTGTGTTCGGGCTCGTGCTGCACACGAATGCTTATGTGCTGCTTTGTTACAACGCTGCCTGCTCCGTTACTCACCCTGTCACTGCCTGTGGTCCCGGCAGGAGTCCATTGACTCAGACCCTGAGTCTGTCCTCAGCCAAGTGATGGAGGGAGACATCAGTCCCCCGGCTGAAGAGGAGGAAGCTGCTGAGGAGGAAGATCTAACAGAAGTAAGCTCCGGACATTCAAACACACTGCTCTGCCTGCTGCATGTTTTATTTTGGCAGGGACATAAGAGTCTGTGTGTGATGCACATGGGTGCGGCCAGTATTTATTTATACAGTACAGCACAATGGTGAGAGGAATAGTGTGTGTGTGTGTGTGTGTGTTTGTGTGCGTGCAGCGTGAAATCCTCACCAGGAAATATTGGTAGGTTAGTGCGGAAGCCTTTTTTTTTGCTGTAATGAAGTAAAGCTCATGAAGACAATGAGATTTCAACGGGTACCAAAGTTTTTAGGTGAATATCAAAATAAATGTTATTTCTGTGTTTATATATAGGCCAATATTTGTTTTAAGCATTATCATATAGGGCTGGGTAATAAAACAATACCATTACATATTATAATTCCCATCAATGTACAACAAAAGTCCAGTATATATATAATGCTTATGCATTGTGTAAGCTCAGCGAAGATGTATAACATAATTGATTGTAAATGTATTGCTGTTGATCAAGTTTTTGTTATTCTCTCCTCATAAAGACGAGTTTAAAACCACAACCTTCACTCACATTTGTCTTGATAATTATCGATAGAAACATTTTAATCTTTATATAATTTTGGGCCATATCACCCAGATCTATTATCATATCATGTAAAATACATTTTGTTATCCCCAGCTTAGTGGCTTGACTCAATCCTGTCTCTGAGCTCTGCAGGCAGCTCCTTCAATTTTATGGTTTGGGTTTTGCTCCGATATGCCTTCTCAGCAGTGAGACTTATTATAGAGAGCAGAGAGAGGCGTCAGTCTTTCCAAATCATGTTCACTTTATATCAGTTGACCACACGTGGACTCTATTAAAGGTGCAGATATTTCAGAAAGATGCTAAAGACAAATGGTAGGCACCTCAATTTAAAATGTTATAGCAAACGTTTAATCTAATATTTCAGTTTCATTTTTTTTTTTACTGAAAAATTCTGTTTTTGCTATGTCATAGTGAAGATTGATGAGGGATTTCTTTTTTGTGCAAGGCTGCCACATAACAAAAGGAATACTTTCTGAAAGTACTATATATTGCACTTATTATTGCTGATGTTACTGTGACTATATCAGTGTTCATAAATCAATCAAGCTTTGAGTTTCTACATCTGTAAATGTCCCGTTTCAAGAGCAGATGTCAAGGTGATTCACTATTAAACAAATGTGACATTTTAAAATGTAATTTGGACGGATGATGACATATTAGCTTAGTTAGATTAGTTGACAGTAGCCTTGTGCAGACACATTGGTGTAAACTAACAAGTTGGCAGATAATTAACAAGAACTTGAAGAACATAAAATATGTTTCAGGTCAATGTGCCACATAGTAAATATTACGGAAACAAGATTAATTTGAGGTGTCACTTGTACGATTTTTATTTTGTTTCTTGATAAAAAAAAATAGTACACAAGTATATAAAAATTCTAGTATCTGTTTTTTTTCTCAGATATTGATAATAATATCTTGTCATGGTAGAAGAAGCACATTCTTTTAAAAGACAAGATAAGATCCTTTATTGGTTCCACTGGTGGGAAATTTGCTGTATTAAGACAGCAAAGGGGACATTAGAAATAGAAACTACGAAAAAAAAAATCAATACGAAAAACATTGAAATATAAAGAAAATACAATAATAACATACACAATGTAAACATAATATATACAACAGGAACAGAATATGAACATTTTTCATCCATACAGAAGGTATGTTCTGTCTCTAATGAGGTTGTGTCTTCCCCAGGATCTCAAAGATTGCAGTGTTATGCTGAACCGTCTACAGGCGGAAGAGAAGGCTGAGAACAAAGATTTTGAGGAGAAAGAAGACATTAACCGCAAAGGTGGAAAACTTGTATCTCGAATTCCTACCTACCATAAACGACCTCCTGGCGCAAGCCAGACCTCGGAGCTGCCTGTTCTTAAAAAGGAAACCCCCGTCCATGCAGCTCAACCTCATGAGAAAGCTGGATGTAAAAGCACTGAGGCTTCAAAGGCTAAACCATCAGATGTCAGAGAAACGGCACTCCCCCTGCCATTAGTCCGTGTCCCCAAATTTGTCCTCGAAGCCCACTCTCCATTCTCCAGTGCTGAACACATAGCTTCGGCAGCTTACAGCTCCCCAATTCCTGCACCCAAGAGTTGGGGTTTGTCTGGGTCCATTCAGAATCCTCTCTTGACTGCAAGCCCTAGGCCTGCCATCAGACCAGAGCAAGGGTTAGAGCAGCATTTACCAGAGGAAGACAACAGCAAAACCTCAGAAATAGAATTAGACATCACACCAGATGTTCCTGTAGGTCAGCTTTCACACGAGGGCTCCCTCAGTCAAAAGTCACAAGAAGACCCAGCAGAGGAGTATGATGTTGAGGTTGAAGACAAGAGTACGGTCCCTGCCTCTGAAGACACCACAACACCTGAGTATGCAGAGAGTGCTCTCACAGCTCAGGTCGGCCAAGTGGATGATATAATGGACGAAGAGGCACCCTGGGAAAAGGAGCCGATGAACATACTTGAGTCGAAGGACAGTAGATCCTCATCAGATGCCGAAACAGAGGAGGATATGACACATGAAAAGTCTGAGCTCCACAGTTTAGAGGAAGTGGAGGAACATCCTGAACGACCGATAGTCCAGTCTCAGTTTGCAAAACTTGAAGAGAAAGTGGCAGAGATGGATGAATCCACCTCTACTGTGGCAGCAGAGACGCCTAAAGCTAAAATCTCATCAACCAAGTCAACAAAGGTGAGTTATGTTGCTGCACTTTAATATATTCCACTGATATCAGTCGTGCTGTGGTCTCAACAGACTGCAGCTGATTTCACATATGTCTGCAGATTTGAGTCTGGATATCATCTGCTCTTCCACACCTAGAGCACACACCCAGAGATGCCAGATGTGTTCACACCTTCTGGAAATACTCTGGTTTAGGCGAAGGGTGGGGCCAGATAGATAGAGCAGAAAGGAGCCAGGAGACGTCTGCAACACACCCACTCGCTCGCTTTCAATTCTTTGGACAGTGACCAACTCTGTCCACACATTGGCTCAGTCAGATATTACATGGACGTTGTATTTGGGAGTAAGACAACTCAACTGGTCAATACACTGTTGTAGACTAGTTTTTCATCTGTAGATTTAAAGTGGTGCAGTAATGAAGCAGAGAGGCACCAACTCCAACTCTTCTGTGTATTACACCAGTGGCAGGACGTCAGGACACAACATGATATAGGAATGCATGCTTTAAGCTTAACTGTCCAATGGGATGTGGCCACATGTAACATAGAGCGTGACAGCAATTCTAGCCTTTCATGGATGTGCTGTTGGAATGGGTGACGCAAGTAGAGGAAGATATACTGGGATGCTGTTGGAGACATCTTCAGACTTGAGGGGTGACAATTGCTCATGTTACTCTGCTAACGTTGGTATATTTTACCACCTTCTGGTCTCCTTGATGCCTCAAGTCTACATTCTGCGTGAGACATCAGCTGCCGCCTGAGCTCATCTTTCACCAGCTTCCAGAAAACGTCCATCAACAATTAAGTTCTCGTGAATGCCCTTCTAGGGAGCTGATAGGGCAAAGTGTGTTCAATGTCCACTTCAACTGATGAGACATTTGTGTTCACACATACAGCTCCTCCAGGTCATGTCTAGAAAAGCTCAGGTGCTCAAGCTCAGTGCATGTGTGAAAGATTCAGTCATATGTAGTGGAATTTCACCACGCCCTGCAGTAATAGCTGTGGTATGTAACACAATCCCAGGCTGCTTCCCAGTCTCTTGTAAACACTGAGATTGCAATTTTACAGATTTAATTTCGTAAATATTTCACATCTGTCATTCTGCAGAGCTCAGGACGCTGCAGTTTCGTCCTCTTCTTCTTCCTGCCCACCACTCTGCTGCTTCTGGTAGGGTTCGGTCAGCACGTGTGGCACTATGGGCTTCCCATGTCTATGGCCCATCTTACATCTCAGCTGGAGCTGCACTGGCTGGAGGGCTTTGGATTAGTCCCCGAGCCTTGTAGCAATGATTGTCGGTAAGAAATATCAACAAAGTGTCAATCTTTCTGACCTATTTTAGCCTTTGAAAAAAAATTACATTTTGTGATATTCACATTGTCAACCCTTGAGAAACCTCTGGAAATTAAAATTGAAAACTGGATTGAGAGCTGTGTACAAATGATGTAACTTAAATCTCCCTCTCCCATGATCAGAGTGCATCTGGTGGAGAGCATCCCTGTGGGTCTGTACCAGTCTTCTCCCTTGTCCAGGCAGAGCATCGCAGACAGCTGGCTGCACCTGCTGCACAGGGCCAACAGCTCGGTCCACATCGCTGCTTTCTACTTCACGCTACAAGGCAGCAATTTAGAGTTTGCCAGCTCTTCTGACTCTCAGGTCGGCACAGCAACGTGCCACAGTCTCATCTCATGATGTAGATCTGTATACTGTATCTAGTGACTGTCCCCACTCATTTTAATATGCATGTTTCGCAGGGACGGGAGGTCTTTGATCACTTGAAACATCTTGAATCTAAAGGTATAAAACTCCAGATTGCTGTCAATGGCCCCCAGACATCAACCAAAGACACGTCAGAGCTGGCTGCAACAGGTACAACTTCATTTGAGTAAAAACCCTGTTCACACCTGGCGTTAACATCTGTCGTAGGTCATCCAATCACATGTGCACAGCTCACTCACACACAAACATCATTGATTGGTCTTTGCAAACAGAATAGAAGAATGTTTATTTGCATATAAAGTGGAGAAATGAAACCTGATCCTTTGTGGTAACAGGAGACATATTCTAATTCCAGGTGTGAACTGACAAACTAAAAACTGTCCACATCTGATCAATCAAGACAGATGTAAATGTCAAATATGAACAGGACAATATGTAGCACATTCCTATTAACTGAGACTCCACTGATCAATATTTGCATCCTCAAATATATGATGCAACCTTAGTTGATGCAGTGCAAAGAACTGAGAATTGTGTGTGTGGCATGTTTCAAACTCTTTTAATTGACCAATTTCAGGTGCAGAAGTCCGAGAAGTGGACCTCAAAGCTGTAACTGGTGGCATCGTCCACACCAAGCTGTGGGTCGTGGATCAAAAGCACTTCTACCTGGGTAGTGCCAACATGGACTGGCGCTCTCTAAGTGAGGTAATATCAGAAAACAAATAGGTGCATCTGCAAATGTTTCTGGATCAGGGTGTGCATGATTTCAGTCAGTAGTCCTACATCCTTTTGCATTTGGAGGAAGACTTGAGTCACTGTCTTCTTACAGATCATATTACTGTCCAGTAGATTCGTAGAGCTGATGTCCCAAAGGTCATAGCAACAGTCTGTCTCCCAGGTACAAACTCTAAAAGAACAGTCATTTATATTTAGAGTGCCTAAAGCAACCAAGCCCAAACAGCTGACTCTAACTGTTACTACAGTGAGACAGCAGAATTTAGATTAGCCTCAGTCTGATGCTGCACTACTCTGTAATAATCTTTGAAGGAGGGAGGCACAATTGATAATGTAATTAAATTTTATCAGCTGCAGAACTGATGCTTAGACTTTGCAGTGCCTGATTGTTACTGACGTGCACATTGGAAGCAACGTATATTGTTTAGATGTTTGCATCTTACCTAGCCTCTTGATTTGATTTGATAACAATTAAACAGTCAACCATTCGATTCACAACGATGCATCGATGCATTTTGATGTTTCACATTCACAATTTTCATCAGTCTATGACAATTTTTTCTAATCGTCATCGTCGTAGAACTGATCTTGAGAAAAACCTGCAGAATTTTCTGAATTTATGTGCCTGGATAAACGGGGCATCGCTTCTTTTGCAGCAAAGAAGTTAAAACACTGCATCATACTCTGCAGGCAGAACTTCACATAAACCTCCTCAGAGGAGGAGTAAGGAGGAGTCAGACTCGGACACAGGACGACTGGACCTTTAATGTGCGTCTGTCCTGAAGCAGCGGTGTTATAATTATTCAGCGACGGGACAAAGCTAAAACAATGAAACGATTATGTTCAGTCGTCCACGTCGGCATCACGATGCATCTAAGAATCAAGACATTTTCACACCAATTATTGCTGTTGATTAATTGTATCTTAAAAAAGCTTATTATTATTAAGTGAATGTGAAAGAACAATTTTTTCAGGTTCAAATCCTCAGATGCATTCAAGCTGTTTTGTTTCAAATGATTAATGTACGTGATGCATTTTCCTGATCTAAAAGAATCTGAATTAATAGTACAACATAACTGTGCTGCTTGTAGATCAGCGTGATTCAGCAAATTCATCCCTATGACTGTAAATCTTCTCCCTGGATCCGACCTCAGATGATCCCCTCACACAAACACAGAACTCGTTGTGACTGATGCAGGATGAACACATTAGTTGTTGTTTGTTGAACCAAGGTGAAGGAGGTGGGTCTGTCGGTGGAGGACTGTAGCTGCCTGGCTCAGGATGCCTTCAGAATCTTTGGTGTATACTGGAGCATCGGTGCTGCACACAATGGATCCCTGCCCCCATACTGGCCTGCTCGCCTCTCTGCCCTGTCCAGCGCCCAGAATCCTCTGCATCTGAAGTTCAATGGAGTACCTGCCCGAGTCTACCTGTCTGTAAGTTAGCACAAAGAGATTATAAGCTTCCTTTCAAATGAAAACGTTTACTTCTTTATTCAACCTGTAATGTGTCTTTTTGACCATTACAGGCCTGATACTGACTTGTTCAACATTATTGTTCAACAAACTCTGAATTTGATCCATTGTATTTATATTGCAATGAAGTTCTTGTCAGAGTGGAAGCTATTATAAAGCAGTGCTTAGCTCATTATATGACATATGAATTAATGGTAAATCAACCCTATAATGAAGTTCAGGTTTAATGCAGCATTGTTTCAAAGTTTAATTAAAACCTCTCAGGTCTTTCTGTGTGTCGTTGTGGTATTTTAGCATTTTCCCTATTTAGGCAGAGTCATCAGAGGGTAATTACATCACCACAGGAGGTTTTAAAAGATTCCTGTTCCTGTCTCTTATCTCCCATGATCCTCACTGCTCATTCTGTGTTCCTGCAGAGTGCCCCTCCACAAATCTCAGCCCGTGGCCGCTCTGACGATCTTACCACCATCTTGTCTGTCATCGGTGACGCCCAGAAGTTTGTTTACATCTCCGTCATGGACTACCTTCCTCTGTCTCAGTTCACAGAGCCAATCAGGTACACTCAGAGCCACTAGTATTTACAACTGCAGTGTTGAAATCCTCCTAAATCACCATCAGATAGATTTTACAGAGAAAATCATGCAGTAAAGCTGAATATGATGACTTACATTATCAGTCACTATAAAGTCATTATACAGTCACTTGATGAGAAACACTACTGAATCACTGTAAGACACCGGTAAAGGCTAATTTTATCAAGCACTGGCCCCTGATTGACTGACAACAGCTACTCTTATTAGAATGGAGCCTACCTGCTAAATTTAACCTTTTAAATTAAAATGGGATAAGCTTGCCTCACCAGAAGAGTTTAGTGGTGGCCGAAGTTCGTCCATGGCGTCGAGAAATTGCCCTCAAGCCCCACACAAATACTTGACATATATTTACAGTATAGACAGTCCTTCTTCCACTGCTGAAGAGTTGAAGCTGGGCTCTGGTCTCTTGCTCTCAGGTACTGGCCTGCCATCGACTCGGCTCTGCGTGCTGCAGCCTGCACCAGAGGGGTACAGGTCAGACTCATGGTCAGCTGCTGGGAACACTCGCCCGCCTCCATGTTCACCTTCCTGCAGTCCCTGCTGGTGCTCAACAGACCTCCACTGAAATGTGACATTGACATAGTACGTCTGGAGATTTGAATTTCTTTGATGGCTGAAACGTATTGAACTCAGCTGAATGATGTTGGATCCTAAACTCCTGTTTTCTTTATTGTTGTGACTTTACAGAAAATCTTCACGGTGCCTTCAACGGCGGAACAGAAGAAGATCCCCTTCGCTCGAGTCAATCACGCCAAGTTCATGGTCACAGACAGAGTCGTCTATATAGGTATGTTATCAGCACTGCACTGACCTTTCAAACATTATTATCCACTGACAGATTCAAAGGGAAAACAATGTAAGCTAATGTACTTCACTTAAAGTATAATAGTAATTTACTCAATATTCCCAATTTAATTCTTCATCAACTACATTAATCTGACTGTTTTAGGTAGAAGTTTCTTTTTATGATTTTTCATTCCAAACAAAATCATCTGATGCAGAGAGGAAAAATATTCCTCTTATCAAGTCACTTCAGTCTGAAACTTCAGGGGTTTTTTGTATAATTGAGACCGATCTGCTAATGTAGTAGAAATATTACAACCTTTTTCAATGCAAATCAGCAGCAGTTTTTATAAGATAGATCTAGTTATAATAATAATAAACTGGATATAACACTTTTCTCAATAAACAGACACAAAAATATAAAGATGAGCAAGAGAAAGAAAATCAGTTAACAAAACAGAGGAAAACGCAATGTATTAAAATAAATAAAGCTTTCATCCATTTGTTGTCAGTGACTTCACCCTCCTGTGACAGTCACACAGTGATGAGTGTTTGTGTCCACAGGGACGTCCAACTGGTCAGAGAACTACTTCAGTCAAACTGCTGGTGTGGGTCTGGTTGTGAACCAGACGGGCTCTGCGGTTGGAAAAGACCAGCAGACGCTGCAGAGCCAAGCAGAGGAGCTGTTCCTCAGAGACTGGAGGTCTCAGTACTCCAGCGCGCTCTCTGTTGACAGCGTGGACGTCTGCCCTCATGGCCGACACTGACGGTTTGCTGTTCAATAAATACATTGCATTCTAGATGAGCGTCTCGCTTGCTCCTGCAACTTGAACTTTATTTTACTTGTGCAGAAATCTGCTTGCTGTACTGCGTGAGCAAACATGGTTCATGGGGTTAACGTGGTTAATCTTATCGCTGTTTGCTGACTTGCCTGCATCTCTGTATATATTTGCTATTTTATATTTAGTTTCTGAAGGTGTTATTTTTTTATTCGCTGTAATTGACAATTTTCTTATGTGAGCTGCGGCACAGGGGAACTGGCTCTGTACAAATTATTTTTATGCCTGGAGCATTTTGTATATTTTCTTTTTAAAAATGTTGGTGTCCAGCTTTAACACTCTCATGCAGGAAATTCAACATTTCCAAAGAGGTGAATACACCATGGCCATGTTTAAGCTGCTGAAGCCATTTGTTCCATAGCATAAGTCCAACAGTGCAAAAGTACTTATTGTAAATACTGGCAATTTGAATGAATCCTTCGTTCAGCTGGAATCTGTTTTACTGTTTTGATAATTGCTGTGCTGCTTCTTTTGATGACGTCACTGCAGTAAAACAGAGGGACCTCCAGGCTCTGGATGCAGCAGGGACATTTTCATTGGTAACCTGACAATCACAAGTTTCCTTGATGTTTATCAGTAGAAATCCAACCCGCTCCTCAGCTGGTGGTCTTTGAAAGCATCTTGATGCACTATGAAATGAATGGGACTCTTGATGAAGGGATGCTCACGGTTTAAAGATTTGTTTCACCCAAATGACCAATTTTGCTCTTATTTTCTTTTCTGATTTGTAGCTTTTCTCTCAAACATAGTTTTTAAATTAGTAGCAGACACATCATGCAGCTAGAATGAATCTAGAATTCATAGCTCTGCCAAGGCCCAACATATACTCCAACATTCTCCTTAAGAGAAAAGTAATTCCTGGCTCTGCACCAAATTTAATTAGTTTATTTCTGACCTATACCACATCCTTTCACCAAGGTTTTGTGTAATTCTGCTTAAAAACGAACGGACGGTAGTAAAAAAAACCATCCATATAAATAAAGTGTGTTATGAATGAGTTGATTTGGTGATGAAGGGACAGTCGTGATTTGTTTGAAGGATTGCTTTGCACCAAACTTTTTTAGTTACCTCTCCTGGTATCTAGCTGTTGAGTTGTTGTTTTTTTCCATTGTGAACTTCTTCAGATTCTGGTGTGACTCCATGAAACGACAGTGGTGAATGGGATTCAATTCTTATTTTGAAATGGTGTTTGCAGATAATGCTCACAATGACAAAGCTAGCATGCTAATGTTTAGCAGACATAATGCTCGTTTAAATCTGTTCGCATGCTAACTTTTGGTAGCTGGCAAAGTACATCAGAGGCTGCTGGTAATTTGAGAAACTTTGTTTTCAGTGTGTTCTTTCCAGGAAAATCAGGTTCAGTTTCTTCATTAAACATTCTTCAAATCAAATCTCCTTATTCTCATTCACTGAAAAATACATTATCTAATACACAAATATTTGTTTTATAAATGGACTGTTTATATTGTGCTTTTCTAATTTTATTTACCACAGAGACCCCCACCCCCTTGTTAGGAAATCTCAGTTAGGACCAAGTTGTGGACTGTCCAACAGACTGTCATCACTAGTATGGGTGCATCTATTTCTTGGTTTAAACTATAGTGAAAGCTTATACCTGACACTTGCTTCAACAAAACTCTAGCTTATGTTCTTTGTTTTAAAAATGCATCTTCAAATACAAAATAAAAAGTTATGACAAAGTACTTAAAGCAAACTACACAAGCATGTTATGTACAGTAAGTGTAGCAAGAACTGTAGGAATATAAGGTCAAAGACAAGTGTGCTGTCAGAGCTCCACAGCTTCAGCTAAGTGATCTTACAAGCACAGGCAGCACATCATACTATTTAGCTGATCAGAGGCCAGGGCTGACTGCAGTCTACAAAACGGATTGATAGTTAAATAATCTGACTCAAGTCACTTTAGGTTTATTTGTTTTTATTTGTCACATTTGAGTATAATTGATAAGAATTTATTTGAATTACCACTTCACAAAAAACATATCTTACAAACATCTAACAAACAAATAAAAAACATCTATGCTCTAAATATAGGATTGTATTTGATGTGCAACAAATTCTTCATGGTAGACTGTGTCACTGCTCTGTGTGATGTCACGCTCTCTGGCTTGTTTTCATCCATCTAGCAGAAACAAAAGCCAAACAGAAACAACACCAGGACAGGATAAGAGTCTTTTCCACAATCTCAGACCATGGCAGCCGCTCAAGTCCTTTCCTATCCATGTCCTGATGACTTAAAGACACAGGAGTGTTTTCCTGACACACAGGGAGGAGGAGGGCTCGGCTGCTGTCATTCCATGGAAAGCTGCACGCTGTCTGTCTGACCTTGTTGTTGCTGCTGCTGTTGCTGCTCCATTTTTCTGGCTAGGAGACAAAAAGAGATGAGAAGTTAAAGACACACAGAGATACAGGTGGATATTCAGTGTGATCGAGATCTACAGCATTAAACAAAAGAATTAAAAACACCAAGCAGTGATGAGGTGTTTACATGAGTGCACTAAAAGTACAGAGAATCCAGAGTAGAATGAGGAACAACAACTGTGGAGGATCATAATTGTTAGTAAAATCTTCTTCTTTATGTATTACTGTATCACATTGAAGACTTGTACTTTACGCTTCGCTCAATCTCCAGACCCTCACAAGGAAATATAATCCAATGGAATAATCCCTCTTTTTTTTCCTTTTCATAACCTTGTAGAAGTATTTTAATATTATTAGGGCCACATTTCATAATATTATGAGAAAAAGTTTTTAATTGACTGGAACAAATATTACAAGGTTTTTTCTTTGTTTTCTTCTCTTTCAATTAGCTTGACAAACAAGTCAAAGTTAAAAAATGAAGAAAATATTTTGCACATCTCTTGAGACTAGTAGCCGGTAAGATGCACGATTAACTTTAAATGATGAACTAACAAGGATGTGTGAATCTACACTCTGCAAACTGACTGGTGTCAACAGATCTGCTGGGGCCTCCACTAAAGTGAGCTGATAAATCCAGTAGTTCTTCTTCTCCTGTGCAGATGTGCACTGCCCCTCACCCAGAGAGTACATCTCCAGCTGCTGCCGCAGGCGGACCTTCTGCAGACTGTCGTAGAAGTTGGGCTCCGGGCTGCTGCCCACGGTGGGAGGCAGAGTGAAGATGCGCATGATCTTCCTCTTGTTTCTGGATTGAACGTGAACACGGAGAAACATTAACACTGCACAGGGATAGCAGCATGTTTAGATCGTTTAACTAACGCTGACAGTGATGACACACATCGCAGCTAATATTTCATCGACAGGTCATCTGATCGTCTGGAGGAGATGCTGCAGCTGAACAGCAGGAACAACCCGTGCTTACTTTCTGGCGTACATGAGCAGACCGAAGCTGACCAGGATCACCAGCAGGTACACGTTAGTGGCCTCGTTCCAGGCTTCGTGCACAGAGTAGTCCAGAGACTCGGGCTCGTGAGCTCCCATCGAGACAAACACCGAGGAGACGCGTGCGGAGACAAAGAGACGCTGTGTTCATGGAGCTTCGCTGTCGCTGCTGTGGAGTCAGGCGGCCGCTGTAAACACTGCGAGGTCACTTCCGCATCCTTCTTATTCTGCAGAGACGGCAAATACACGCTGCAGGCCGTGTCACTGCCCCCTACAGTCCGAAATGATCCATGCAGTTCACTCCTCTGTTTATTGTTGTCCATTAAAAGTGAATCATAATAATAATACAAATAATAATAATACTTTTGGTTGGCCATCGAGCTCTGCGTTATTAACACACAGTATTCTGCAATAGTCTGGCTCATTCAGTCTGATGAATTACACCACACACTCTTGTTCCTGACTTTGCTCTTAATTATTCATGACTTAGATTCCGCAGATCGTTGGAAACTTTCCTACTTCTGCTATTTAATGTAATCGTGTGAGAAAAATACACAGCTGCACTTCAAGATGATGTCATCAGAACTCACCTGCAGCTGACACTATTATATCACATTGTGATTTAACCAATATCCAGAACATTTAAAATACTGATGGTAAAAGTGTTGGGTGAGATGATATTAAACATTTCTAACAATGACACTGACAAAACCTTAGCTTTACAGTTTGTTCTTTAAACCGTGTTTAATCATTTCAATACCATTCATTTTCAGCAATTACATGGTACCTTATGTACACAAATTACTTTATTGCATCACACTGTGGCTTGTTTTTTTTTCTTTTAAAATTATCTTATTTTTCAAAATAGAGTTTTACTAATTCATTACTACAGAATACATAAAGCTGCTTTCAACCTAAACGCTGTAATTAGTATGTGTACACACAAGACAGAGACAAGAACCAAAGCTCAGTACACAAAAAGAAAACATAATATAAAGGACAACAGGCTGTTGGGTCCAATAAATGCAGTGGTTCGTCAGGTTACAACTTACAAGTGTTTCCTACAAGGTAGGGAGAAAAACAAATATCAAAATTGCATGATTGTTATAACTCCACAAAAGATGTTAGTGCTTCATCCACACATTGTTGTTGGTTTTCAGAGTAAAATAAGTTATTGGCTAAAATGTTGGATGCACATGCTCAAGTAACCAGCTGAAAGCCAAACCAGCTCTACAGCACATGGACAGAAAACTGTAAAACTCAGATCATTCAGAATGTTCATCGAAGTAAATGCAAGAACCCATCTGTGGCAGAAACACAGCAGGAGTGCTTGTAGGAAACCAAAATAACAAAGAGGTCAAGACAGAGTTCGAAGGATGTCTGAGACGACGACCAAGTACTTGAGACAAAACACAACTAAAATAAGACTTTTTGCCGACAACCTGTGGCAATTAAAGGTTCAGTGTGTAAGATTTAGGTGAAAGGGATCTACTGGCAGCAACTAAATATAAAATAATAGTAATGATGTTTTCACTAGTGTGTTTCATCTAAATTGTACGAATTGTTTTCTTTACTCTAGAAAAGACCCTTTTTATTTAAATACTGTATATTCACATCATGAGCAATCCTTTCAACCTAGGCCGCCATGTTTTTTTACAGTAATCCAGACTGGACAAACTAAACACATTTTGAGTTTTTATATCAACTGGAGGTTTCCACAGGGGGTGGGTGAAGTAAGGGATGTTCAACTTCACCACTAGATGTCACTAAATTCTACACACTGTACCTTTAAATATTTTAAGCTACGACAACCTGTAAGTTCATTACTCAGTTGTCATATATACACAAAGGGAAAAAAATGAAATCAAAGCTTTATCACTGAGGAAAACTTGAAAGCGAGCAGTAAATAAGCCGTCATTTATCATTTATTTACAATACAGGTAAGCCATTTTTTAAACAGGGGTATGCAAATAAGTGATGCAAGTTGTTAGTTACTGGACCACACGGTATGGGGACGATTTAAACATGCAGTGTTTCAGTGCTCCCTCTAAGCCTTGAGAGTGAAATGGAACCACAACACTCAGCAGGTAGAAAGACAGACCAGCTCACTTCCATTTCCACATCACAAAGAAAAACTCGTAATCTCCAGTCTATTTGGAAGATTTGGAGGTTGTTCTTTTTTTACTTCATCATTTTAAAGACACTGTGTATAAACAGTTGTATTTCCTCATGTCTTTGCCGCTATAACCTGACATTCAGTGGATTCAACTAGAGATACAGATGAGCAGAGTTTGGCTGATACAGATGAAGATCACTACAAACAGTTTTGGCTAAAATAAAACCAAAACAAAATAACCAAAGTTCCTGAAAAAGTAAACTTTTCGGGCCAAACTCTGCTTCTCTTGCCTGATCTGTCCCACTGTGAGCGGTGGCTGTATTAGTAGCGGTGGATAAAAGCTGGCTCGGCATCTATAAGCAATTCCTCATGTTGTATTAAGCTGAAATAACTGTAATGTATAGCTCTGTGTATCTGTGAGTGTCGAGGCTGTTTCAACATTAGCACTGGTTATAAGCAGGTTAGACTGAGGTCAATATCTAATCAAAGCATTCGCATTATTACTGTACCTACCTTAGTAGTTCTCGCAGAAGCTAGCAGTTACAGCTCTAGCACGTAACACTAGTATAAGTAAGCAATATGTCAAGCTATGCAAAAAGGCTACTAAAAGCTATTACTTTTAACAAAAACTGTATTATGATAGCCTACTCAAAGCTAATGCGTGCAGTGATGGGGATATAGCGTGGTCTCTGAGCTCTATGGCAGTGGCTGGGCGTTGAGAGAGCAGGCATAGAGGGAGCACTGACTGATTCACTGCTGTCACATCAGTATGTCCAGGTCGTCGGCACGGTCGTCCTCCTCTGTCACCCGTAGTGACAGCACCTCCTCGTTCAGAAAGAGTCCGCTGAGGCGCTCCTTGCGGGCCTGTCGCTGCTCTTTCAGCTGCCGCTTGCGGAGGGCTTTCTGCTGGAGCTTACGCTGCTTTGAACGTTTCTGAAAAGACAGAGAGAGAGGTTGGTAAGTGCAAAGTGCAAACGCATCATCGATTGCCTCCCCACCTATCTGTCCAATAGGTCCCAAACGTGTAGGAACTGGTGACCGATTTAAGTACCGGATTTCGGTACCCAAACCTAGTTACAATAAAAACCACATGTATTTGGAACAATGGGATTAGAAATATTAAGGTCTAAAGGCAAATGTACTCTTTAAAGTTTGAAGAATAAACCCCTTCCCCTGCGATTCTTCCCTGTTTTTTGAGGGGAAATGATGGACTGATTAGGCCCAATAAACCCATCACCTGTACAACTATAGATGATCTTATCCAGAGGTTTCTTACTTTAGAGTCTCGTATACGTTCTGCAGCACTGGAGAGGTTTCCATCACTGTGAGCTCTGCTGATGTTGGCAACACTGCTTCCACTACAGGCTGAGGCTGTACCACCTGCAACAAAAGGAAATACAAACACTATTAAAACCAGAAAAACTAAAGAGAGCTCAAAGTTTGACTCTGATCTGAAATGGCCCACTCAACAGGCTCCTCTTGTGGCAGCACTGTTGGCGCTTCTTAACTGCTAGCTAACCAGGTAGCATCTCACCTGCTACAGAGTTGGAGGCTGTGGAGCAAGTGGAGGAGCTGGTGGAGCTGACCATGCTGGCATTACTGCTGCTGGCTCCGCTGACGCCGCCGGTGCTGGCGCTGCTGTGACTGCTCCTCTTCCAGCCCTCTCTGGTGCTACTGGCCCGCTGCCTGGGGCTGTGCTCTCTGATGTAGTTACGCACCTGATGACAACACACTCGCCGTAAATCAATCTTTTCAACAGTTTTATCCTGCTTACGTAATGCAGCAAGCCTTTCTCTCACTGCAAATAAATAATGACAAAGCAAACTCATACAACGGAATCCTTGAGACAGTCCAAAAGCTCACATCTATCTATCCATACACACATATTTAACCTATGATCAACATTATAAATTGGTTGGTTTGTCAACTTGGTTGCAATTTTTTTCTTGAACGTTTTGCGTGAAAGAACTGTTTTGTGTATTGGTGCAGTTACTCAGTATTGGGAAAGTGTTTTTGTGTTTAATGATCACTGCCCACCTGTTTGAGTTTCTCGTCTGTGAGACAGTTGAGCTCGATGATGAACTCGCTGTCGGTGGGAGAGATCTGAGCGCATGGGTCGATGATTTTGATGATGTCCAGCTGTTCTCTGAGGCCCATCTCTGTGCTGACCTTCCGACTCAGGTACTCGATGTACTCCACCTACAAGTGGTGACACACACACACACACAGGTTTGAATTTTGCTGCTCTTGTCCAGGCTTTATTGTCTGTTTATAACCCTGCAGAGAAGTAAGCTAGTAGCTTGAGTGAGGTTTTCAGTTTGATCGTTGTTAATTCTGAACTCTGCAGTCGCTGTGTTTGACTTTGTTTACCTGTTCATCGTTGGTCATGGCACTCCAAGGTAGTTCATCCAGGTTGCGATGAGGGTGGGACTTCGGCTTTCTCTTGGAAAACAAACAAGGGGAACTTGGCACACTTGGGATGATGTCAGAGAGGACATCACTGCCACTGGCAATGTCACTTCCTGGCAACTGAAATGACAACAGAGAGATGTGGAGAAGAAAGACTGATAAGAAAAGACTTCCAGTTAATGTTTGAATTTAATCAGATCAATCACTTTCATATCAAAGTCCAAACAAATAGCAAAAATCACTTGTAAACTGACCAGAAGGCCTGATAATAACCAACCTGCCACTCAAACTCGCTGTCAGACCAGTCCCAATAGGTGCTGATGGAGGAGGAGACGTCGCTGCAAACACTGCCCTCTGGAAACAAGTCCAGCGATGTTAGTTCCTGGTCATCTAGAAGGGAATAGCAGTCCTCCTGGTCCCCCACAGACACAGAGGAGAAGAGCTCCTCACTGCACTCTGAGCTGGCAACACTTGTTCCACGGGAAGTGAGGTTCCATCTGCAGAGAACAATGAGGGGATTTCAAAGTTAATGAAAAACACAGTAGGAGTGACTTTGTAGTGATGTCATGATGATCATGTCATTGCTACCATATGATCATGAATCATTTTTCAGTCTATAAGCCTAAAGGTCATCGCTATAGTTATATAGGAAGCAGGGATACCTCAAAATCTCTTTTTTATTTATTTTACTTTACTGTGACTTCTCCATGGCATCACTTCTCACATATCATATTATGGGGAATGATTTTCTGATCAATACAAGATCTTGATTGTTTCTCCATTGTTTGCAAAGATGTCTTAGAAAATGTGTTTAACGGACAATGTATTTCTTGACCTTTGACCACACAGCTTCAAAAGTTAATTATCTGAAAACACCCACTGAAGTAATATTCCCTCCAAGTTTGGTGAAAATCCATCTGTTATTTTGTCCAAGCACACCCACATGCTCGCACATACACACACGAGCAAAAACAATACCCTTCCAGCTACACCAACACACAGTGCAATGACTCATTTCTGAAAATCCTTCTGAAAATCTTCCAGAGACAAAGTGCAGTACAAACAAGATAAGGAAACTTGTTCAAAGAGATCCAAACATCTGAACATCCAAACATATTCTAACAATGTCAATAGAGTTTACCTCGGAGGATATATAAAAATATAGATGTGGACTCATTGTGTGCAATATTTCAATACACTCAGGATTTAGAGCTACACGTTTAGAGGTTTCTCTAAGGCTTCAAAACAAGAGAATAAAATGATACTTTTATCCACATTTTACTAGGGCAGCAATTTTCAGTGAAATATGTGATTATAATTATGATGCAGATTTTCAGGCTGTAATCTTTAACTGTATTCCAAATATTGTTACTCATTTCATAGTGGCAAGAGGTATGGTAAAGTTTTTGTTTGTGGAAGCATGTTTCTTTGTATTTTATTGTATAAGCAATGAGTGTTTTGCAGTAGTTCTAGGAGGTAAAAATAGAACCATACATTGGTCAGCCAGGAAACATGCTACTTAGCCAGCACATTGACATTCAACAATAGCAAGGCAAGGTGAACATCAACAGTTGCAGCTGCACATCCTGCAGCAGTTTGTGTTTGGTCCAGATTTTGAGCCACAGGATATTTTACCTGACCATAGAGGTCAACACCTTCAGTTAAATTCCAAAACAATGGCATCTTCTTTCACATCACCACTGCATGTTTCACCTGACAGTTTTGGTTTACCTCAGGGAAAGGTGACACATATGTGTGAATCAGCCAGAACACAATGTCTACTTGCCTGTTACTGTTGAAGCGGTGTAGAGGATCTGTTCTGTGACAAGATGAGAGCTGACAGCCAAAGTCACTGACGTCCAGGGTTCCCACATCACTGAGGTTGGCTCTTTGGGAGAGGAGAGGGAACGGCTCCTCTGGGGCCAAAAACTTCTCATACAGTGATTCAGACATGGTCAGATGCACCTGACACAGAAAGACAAACATTAGACACAAATAACAGGGAAACGTTCAATACAGCTCCAGCCTCAATTGTTACATTAAAGCTGAATAAACAGACCTTGTACACTCTCACCATAAACTTCATCAAAGTAATTATGTATCCGCTGCAAGGTTATTGTATTGATAGGTTACTGTGTCCATGACTCTGCTCATTGTTATTTTTCACTAAATTAGGTGCAGGTTGTAGACCAATGTGTTTGTTAACTATGGACAAATGAAAAAGTGGTAATATTCTACATTTGTGACTTTGTGACAGGTGTCAACAAACGTTAGCTAGCTAAATGACCACGAAACTTAAATCTTAACAAATGTTGCATTGGTACAGAGTGGAGAAATAAGCTTTGCATGGTCAACATGAATGTCAAACTGTGTTAATAATGATGTTCTCCTCATGTAGCTGTCATAAAGCATTCGAATAAGTTTCAGATTTAAAACATATTCCTGTAAAGCAGATTTTGAAAAGATTCAGGCAAAATACATCACACAATTTTTATTTTTCACAATTCAGTAATACACTTGTCAGGAACTTTTACACCTGTTTATTTTGAGTTTATTTTAGAATAATTCACACATAACTCAGTTTCCGACCACTTTGGCCCAAACTGCCCTAACACCTTATTAAACTCTAAAAGTGAGCCACATTCATTAAATATATAAACAACTTCTCAATGAATGGACTTCAATGGACTCGTCCTTCATGTGTGAGCGTGTCATTGTTTATTACTCGTAGTTATTAACTATGACAGGTGGGAAAATGAGCAACAAAATGTCTGTATGTAAAACTGTCTTTCATAAAATATATAAATATCAGCAAACTGTTAATTAACAATTTTATATGTGACCACGTCTAAAGGTCATTGTTGATAATATTACTTCCTGATGTTTAATTACAACCCCTGATGATGATAAGTGAACGGAGTCCATGCTAATTGTTTACACAGCCACTGAATATGATCCATGTGAAACATATCGCTCATGTAGTTTCTTGATTGTTAAAATACGAATTTAAAAAGTTGTTTTCAATAAAAGCTCTCTTGCGTCCGCATAAATTCGGTGACAGTTTAAATTACAGATTATCGTGTTCAGCAAAAACAAACAGTTAGCTTAGCCAAAAAAAACAAAACAACACACGCTAACAGCGTTAGCTCGATGCTAACGCTACAAACGTCCACGCAGCCTTTACCGAGTCGCAGAACGACGTCAAACTCATGTTTTCCGCGCGATGACAAACCTCAGTGCTCCGCAAACACGTCGGAGTTGTAACGAAGAAGCTGCGTGTGTTGTAAAAACGCACCTTTTCTCGTTCAGAGGGAGAACGTCTCCGCTGCCTCCATTTGCAAATCCTTTCTCCTCAGTCGCTGATCGGCGCCGTCACCGCGAGACTGCCGGGAGCGAGCGAGGCGCGCGTCATGTGACCTGGAGGCGGAAGCTGTAACATAAACAGAAGAGAAGCAGAAGAAGAAGCAGAAGAAGAAGAAGAAGACAGCTCTTCTTCTACTGTGAATGTCCTCTGTATCCTCCCTGTTTTCTGTGTGTCTTCGTGAACTAGTGTGTGCTTAGTCATGGCCTCCAGAGACCTCAGCTTTCTAGGAGGCAGGATACCACCGGAAATTGAGTCTATGTCGAAAAACCTGAAGGATGTGGATCACGAGATGTTCAGAAGAATACTGAAAGGTACAAGCTAGTCCTCTGATCCAGCTGCTCGTGTTTAATGTTACATCATCACACACTTTAACAGCTTTATATAGCATGTGTGTAGATATAAATGTAATGTCAAATCAACTGACTTTTAATTAGTTGCTTAATTAAACATGCTTTACTGCTAATCTGTGATACGTGTATAGGTTAGTGTGATAACAGACAGCTGTGTGGAGGAGACTGGTGACTGGGGGGGGGATCATTAAATAACGTGTCTGTGAATAAATGTTCCCTGCAGCTGTGGTCAGTGCCCTGGAGGGGAAGGACAGCCGAGATGTGATGAAGGCGATAGCAGAGAGCAGCACCATCCCACAGGAGAGACTGAGTCACATCGTAGCCGGCATGTACAGAGTTCTGTCCGAGGCCATCCGCATCCCCACGTCGTCACTCAAACAGGAGGTACACGCTGCTGGTCATCGCTGCAAATCACAGGCAGTGAACCACCATAAGCATGGTTACAGTAATCATCCATAGTTTTCTCACTAACACAAGATATGACTGGTGTCCTGTTATTACACTGCGTTCAAATAAGCAGGGTTTGGATATTGTATCACATGGGAACCCTGATAAAATGAAGTGCAGTGTAAAACATTATTATGCATACGTACTATCAATGGACACCTTATGCATTTTCACAAAACATATTTTGGCATGTCACAGTGAGAAAAGTACTGGCCCAAAATAATAAAATGAGGGATGGATGAATGGTGTTTAGCTTCTTCATTTTTAGGCTCCTGCTATCAAGTCTTAAACCATTCTCCATAAAAAAATCTTTATTAAAGGCCTTAGTTGCCCAGGTCTTTCTGCCTGTTTAGATCCACACCTGTGTGGGTATCCAGGTCACATAATGCTATTTACATCCCTTTTATAAACTGAATTGTGTTTTTTACAATCAACATGTTTATATTGATATAGAGAATTCTAAAGTTTCTGCTTTGTCCCTGTTTAGGCCTTCAAAGATGATCTCAGAGAATTAAGGTAAGGCTTCAAGTGTTTGTTTTACACACTTAATGTTTTTGATTATCACTCATCTTCATAAATAACACAATTTGTTGTTTGTATTTCTGTCAATTAGGATACCTGAAGACTTTATCACAGATTTCTCCAGTGTGGTGTTTGGAAATCGGTATGTTGAATTTACACAATTTGACACAGTATTATTGTGTTTTCTGCCCACAGAACCCAATAGACTATTAATGCAGTAAAGAGGAAAGATTTTTTTATCGTAACTTAAACTGGATTAGTCAGTGTTGGAGTTATCATTACATGAATGACCTCTGGCACAGCATATTGACATCAGATATTTGTCCATCAATATCTGAACTGCTGCTGTTGATAGATGTTATGATTTCAATCTCTCTTTGTATTTGTAGACGTACAGCTCTAGAGGCTGCGACCTCCCAGAATGATCCTCACCTACCCACAATAGAAGACTTTAAATGGAGAGTGGATGTCGCCATTTCTACAAGGTAATATATACTGAGGTGGAGAGAAAACACTGTATCCTGAGAAATGTATTCATAACAATTGTCAGAACCTTTTCAGCAAAATGTCTGAATAACTTTGAATGACATAACATAGTTATGTAATTTTTATTTTTTTTATTTTTTTGATAATCTGTCTTACAGAGTATGAGGTGTCTAATGTTTCCAGTGTCTGATATTTATACACCTTAGTAACTTTTATTGAAAATCAGACACATCTAACCGATAAAATCGTACAGATCTGCAAACATCACTTTATTGACAGTTGATGTTTGGACAACGCTGTGTAGAAGCACCTCAGAAAAACACCTTGAACATCCAAGATGTGACCAAAATGTTTGTGTATTGTCCAGTTTTATAGTTAGAAGGTGAAGTAGATTTGGTCTCAGTGTAATGAAGTGGATATTTTTCTGTCTCTCCAGCTCTTTATCCAGGGCTCTGCAGCCTTCTGTACTGATGCAGATGAAACTGTCAGACGGGAGTTTAAGTCGCTTTGAGGTACATAAACAAATGATATGTTTCTTTACAATATATTCATCCTGTTTTCATTGTCAGTTTATGCAGAGTCTGATAGAAATGATGTGAGCAGATGGAAGATGTTTCTGGAGACTCAAACCTTTTAAAACAGGCACGTTTGTGAGAGATGAGTTAACACTGTAGTTCATMCATAGTAGACTGTATTTAACCATTTACCACACCATACATACTACATGTCCAAAAAGTTAATTTTTCATGGAACCACATCACAACTTCCATTGGTCACCTAAACATTAAACCACATTTTACCTAAGTCATGCTGACTACTCTCAATTCCTTTGACCCACTTCGAGAAGACTTTTGTAATTTATTGGCTCTAAGACCTGTGGAAGCTTTTAACCTCCTCTCCCTCCCCCTCTCTCCCTCTCTCTCTGGGGGTTTCCACTACAACTACCTGATTTTCCAGGCACTTCTTGTTAAACTCTCAGGTCTTAAATCAGAAACTGCACTTGTAAGCTTTGTCTGTTTTCGGGGGATTTCAATGAGTGTTCAGTAGATTCCAGTTTGCATTAGAACTGTCTTAAGTTGGACTTTCAGAAACCCATAGGTATTTAATACATGGTCATTTTTATCCCCATGGCCAATGGTAGCTCTGCAGTGCAATGTGTGTGCGTGTGTTCCAAGTTTATCTTCAGCCTGTTCATAGAAATAAGTGGGTTACTAGCCAGTGGACTAATGTAGGTCAGTTTCAGTTCTTACATAATATGATCAAATTGTAAAAAATAAGTAACCTCTATAAACAGCAGCCTAACCTAAAACCAGTATTTCACAGATTATTGCAAACATATATTTACAACAGTGTGTCTTTGTTTATGTGCAGTATATAATCACAATGTATAAATAGAAGCTAGCAGAATATAATACACAGCTGTTCTTTCTCCTGGAAAATCAACGTTTTTTACTGAAGGAAAAATCTAGAAACCTCTTGAAGTCAAAGTTATACAGCCTGAAACCCTGGCCACATGTCTTCTCTCTGTTCATACAAAACTATTAATTCAAATTATATCACAGGAATAACAAGTGAGAGCAATGTGACCTTATTTTTTCCAAGAGATCGTTGATTTTCTGTAGTAAAAAATAGCACAAACCATATAATTATAATCATAACATTTGTAACTTCTATGGTAACAATGCACATGTACTTATAAAAAATAATTGGTGATGTCTGATGAAAGCTGTTGATACATCTTCCACAAAATGAGTAAAATATAGGCTCAACAGGGGGCGCCATACTCCTGCCACAATATACCTGCCTCGTAATTGTAAAATAGAAGCACGATTAGACACTCAACTGTTTTCAAAGAAAGTTACTAATGTGGACAGAAACAAGAATGAGGACTTCTGCTTCTGCGTTGAACCTAGTGCTGCAGTTACATAATCAGATCCCAGTGGGATTAGAAGATTAGGAGCAACAGCATCCGCAGATTCTATTGATGGACTTTATCTCTACCTGATATGTGTCTCTCAGGATCTCTTCTGGAGTCTGAATAACCGATATGTTCTGCTGTAATCACAAAAAACTGACAGAAGAGATCACTGCTGCTCCTTTTAATGGCCTCAGTTTTAACGGTCAGATGTGTCACAAAGACAGATTCAAACATATGATGACTGACACTCTGCTTTATGCTTTAACACAAGGATGAGAGGACCATGAATTATAGCTGCTATAAGTAAAACCTTTTGCTTGTTAGAGTAGAATATGTTGCTGTTGTAAAAACTGCTCTCATCATGTAGAGAAGGCAGAGTCACTGCCATGAATCGTCTACTCTGATGTTCAAGGCCTTTCAGATTTTCTGGAACTACAAACATCTCTAGAATGGCTGTCCTGTCATCGCGACTGAGTTGTCTTTGTCATCATAGAAATATAATAACAGCACATCCATGAAAGGCTAGAATTGCTGTCACTCTCTATGTTACACGTAGGTGGTCACATCCTATTGGACAGTTAAGCCTAAACCACGCATTCCTAAATCAAGTTGTGTCCTGACGTCCTGCCACTGGTGTCATACGCAAAAGAGTTGGAGGTGATGCCTCTCTGTCTGGGGCATCTGAGTTAGATATGAAAGTCTCTAAGCGTAGACACTACAATGCACTGCTGGTTGGCCCTTTATCTATAACCTGACCTTGGATATTGCTTTGAAAGAAGAGAGAATGTGTAGAACGCGACAGGCCTATTCTCCAAATAGTGTACAGATGCAATGTGTGAGGATGATCAAAAATTCCTTTATGTACGGTTTTTATTGCTCTTTTTTGTCAGCTTCATCTTGGCCACATAACTGTTTGTGTGACATTGACAGTGATTTGTTTTTTTCCCTATCAGGTGCCTGTTTCTAAGTTCCAGGAGCTCCGTTACAACGTGGCGTTAATTCTCAAAGAGATGAACAATCTGGAGAAGAGGAGCATTCTCAAAATCCAAGACTAATGCACCATGCTGGGGTTTTAGGAAATCAAACCCTTTTTTCTACTTGACGTTTATGAGATTTAGTGGAAATGTACTTTACACACACACTCATATGCTTTGAAAGCATTTGCATCCAACATACCTGACTGTCAGTGTCAACTAATAAGAACAGAGCGGGCTGGATCCTCATCAGGCTGCACCACATGAATAAAGACAAGGCTTTTTTCTGTTTCAACCTGTGTGAAAACAAATCTATAAACTGTATCCTTTGTTTTCTTGACTTTGGTTGTTAATGCTTTAAATTTCCATGATTCAGTTAACTCATCAGTATATTTGAGACGGGTGCAAAGCTCCATTGTGTCAACACATGAGTGCAGCCAAATTAAATCTTAGACACTCTTACTTGGCCACTTAGACAGGTGTCATGTGATCTGTTGTTTTAGACTGGACATCTTGTTGACATGCTCCTGAAAGGACGAACACTGATTGTTTTTTCATGTTTTTATACCTGGGACAGAGCAAAACCAGTGTTGTATAAAAAGTAAAATGAGGACAATGGTTGTCCTGTTTTTTTTAATGTGTTTTCAATGATAACATCAAGAATGTTAACCTCTGCAGCCACATTTATCTAATAAAAAATATGTGTTATTGTCTTTGCAAAGAACAGATTATGTGCTTTGATGATAATGTTGGCACCGCCTTCAGGTTCACATTTGTTGTTTTGAGTGAAGTAACAAATAATATCTGTGTGTCTCTCAGGGTGAAC